CTGATAGCTTCTTTGAGGTTCAGAATTTCAATGAGAATTGAGAAAATATTTGACCAAAATAATTGATTTTCTATATCTTGGCAATGAAAACAAAACAAAGATAACTATTCTCCAATTTGTGATTCTCAACATGACAAAAATTCCTTGCAGTAACTTAAGAGTTCCTAGATGTTGGGGAGCAAGCGTCTCCTGCCAACTATTTGTATCCTAAAGGCAGTTTACATGTCTCTGCTTTGTGCTGTATGTGGTTCACTTTAACTGTAATACTGCCTTATATTTTGACTACTTTTCTCTGTTTCCACATGATATTCCTTGTAATTCAGATCAAATGTTGTATTAGGTTATATTAGGTTAGTGAATTTATTAGCTATATATAACACATAATTAACCCTGTTTCATATGATAACAATTTAAAGCATATTTCTAGTTAGATTGTAAGCTTCCAGAAGATAAAAATCATACTTTATGCCTCACACACTACTTAGGATGGTACCTAATACATAGTTTTTACTGCTTATTCATTATCATGAAATTTCAGATATTCTGGTTAAGAATAAAGCTGCACTTTGGAAAAATTCTCTTTTTCTGCCTAAAGCAAAATACAAAAAATGAAATATGAGTCAGGTTTTCCTTTTTAAGAAACTAGTAATTCCCAATTTAGAATTCATTCCAGTACAATAAGGAAACAATAATGTGTGCATACTAACTAGAAGCTTCTCCTATGAAAAAAATACTTAGAACTGGTGGGAAATGTACTACATCTCAAAAAAATTCCATCATTTTTCAGATATAGTTGTTTGGGTCTTTTGACCTTCTAATTATTGTAGAAGACTTTTTATCCAAAATAATTGGAATTAATAATTGGTCCATTCATTAATAAAGTCATTTAAAGCATACAAATATTAAAAGGTTATACAGATACTATAATTACAAGTCACAAATAATTATTTGTCAGTCTTCTTAAATAAGCCTTTCTCTTTGACTATGGACTTGATATTTTGAATTCATTGTTCTCTTTCTAGCATAAATCACCAAAAAGCATCATCTGTTTCACTGTATCCAGAAGAAACATTGTGTTCATGAAGTTGATTCTTTATATAGGTGTTACCAAAGATACTTTTGGAAGTAATCTGAATGTAGAATGGTTTGTAGATATCATATACTGATTGACTGCCCATGTATGTTAAAGATTGTTCACTTTCACCTGAGTCAACATCATATTTGAATGTCTTAGAAGTGTTTCCAAATGATTCCAATAGATTTTTATAAAAATAAGCATAGCTGTTTACAATCATAAAAATTATACAATGTGTTGTTGGCATAAATTAAGGATAAATACAACTGATTTATAACAAGCAGCATCTAAATTGGTTAGACCAGCCAATTAGCAGCTAATGGTAATATTTGGCAAGTCTTGAGCACCTCTTACTATGTCTTACACAAAGAGTACAGACTACCTGTTAATGTGGTGAAGTTGTTAAGTAGAAAGTAATTAAGAAATCATTATGCCCTTATTTATATTTTTTATATCATTTATCTATCTTTTTTATATCATTCCCTGAAAAACTGGGAATAATCACTTCATTCACAATTAAATTTACCCTCTATGTTAACTTAATGACAGTGCAGTTAAACATCCTTGGGAGAGTGGTAATAAAAATTGGCTGCAAAATAATTCTCTTTGCTGGATGTATTGCATTAATTCAAAGAGAGTTGTTAAAGGTTTGTATATAGAGGAAAAGCAGCAGAGTATATCTGATCTATTTCAGGTAGTAATATTTGTTTCACCTCAGGACTTCCAATGTTTTTTATGAAGAATTCATACGACTAAAGTAATTGAAATGGTGAGGAAAAGGGAATAAACATGTACTTATTTTGCTTATGGAGATTGACTATGTGGTCTCTCATAATGTTGTCAGGTTCTAGGGGTCTCTGTCCAGAGGGGGTTTTCTAGGTTCTTCTCATTTTGAAGAAAAAATTGGACAAAACAAGTGCAAAAGGTAGGGAGGTTTTATGTTACTAAAAGTAGGGGGGGAAAGGCATGCTCTGCAGAGCAAGTTTGGGCCCAGTAAAATTAGGAAAAGGAGTACCCTTTATATCATGCAAGCAGACTAATGAAAGAGAAAATACAACATTCATGAGCTCTGTGGTAACTGTCTTTTTGATCTGCCACTCCTCAGGCTGACAGGTCCAGGCCATCCATCAACAAAATTTGCTCAGCTTCTGGGGAGGATTGGAGACAGCGATCTGATTGGTTTCATGTGCAGGGCTTTGGGAACAGTTTTGCGCGTGTGTCCTAGAACTTTATAATTAATAGATCACACCTAGTTTTCTAGCCAGTTGCCATGTCCTAATTTCCTGTCCAATTAGAGCTGGGCGTGGTGGAGCGTGCCTGTAATCCCAGAACTTGGGAGGCTGAAGTGGGAGATAACCATGAGTTCAAGGCCAGTATAGACTACATAGTGACCTCAAAGCCAGTCTGAAATACATATCAGCTTGTCTCAAAAAACAACAGCAACAAATACATACATACTTACATATATATATACACATACCTACCATAGTTTATAGTCAGTGCAGTGGGAACAGGCCTATAACATTAAAAGACAATACTAGAAGCCTTATTTCACCCAGGATCATAGTCTGGAGTTCATCATGTTTGGGGGCATATTTTAGAGTTCAAAACAAAAATTAGTACAGTTCACAATTTGTACTGAACAATGTGTTTTTTTCCTATTTTTAATAAATGTAAAATTTTGATACTGTTTGCACCTATTTTGTCTAATTCTTTGTTCAAGATAAGACCACAAAAAACCACTCTGGAAGGACACCCCAAGAACCCAGGACCTGATAACAGTAGTATCATAAAACACTAATGATGGTTTATATTAAATAGTTTTGTGACAAAATATCAGAACGAGGGTGAGAAAATAAAATCAGCTGAAAATTTTCTAGAGGTGAAATTGAAGAATGGATGGTTGGAGTATCCCTATAGTAAGGGCTGGATTTTATCATATAGTTTTCAGAGATGTAATAATTGATAGATGTCATTTAATCTAGTGGTTCTCACCTGGCCAATTGAATTATATATACTAATTAAAATTCCAAATGTTAAAATATCACACTTTTGTAGATTATCTCAAATAGTTTTCCTTAATTTAAACACTTTATTCAGTTAACCTGGAATTTGAATCTCTCTCTTGTTTTTATATGTAGTATTATTTTTGATAATAGGATGACTGTGAAGGGATGTCACATGAAATGATGTCCAGCAAATACTTACTAAGAAAGCATCTTATTATAAAAAAAAAACTGGTGCAAGAAATATTTTTGACCTAATACAGAATTGTAAAGCTAGCTATTTACTTTTGAAATGATTTTTAATACCTGAGACCTGTTGGTTTGAGCAATATTTGCCTACAGATCTTTCTAAAGTCTTGAGAACTTTTCTTAAAATATTATAACGTGCTTCAGAGAATGCCATTACAATATGAATCTCTTTATCCAGTTAACTATTTTTTCTTTTTTTATTTTAAAGATGGTAAAATTAAACAAAACAATATATGAAAGCAATGTAAGACACATAAATTTCAAAGCAAAACAATCAGAGATCTTCACTATCTATCATATTGTCTCTTGCTTTCTTCCAAATAGTTGTCCATATCTTCATATACAGCAAATTCATACAAAACAACATATATAAAGCTGATCCAAACAGGATGATGAAGGCGTTTTTGGTCTTCAAGACCAGACAATAGGGAAGTCAACAATGGTTGTCATAGTGTCTCTCTCTTCAAAATAGTTGTTCATACCTTCACATATGTTGAAATTAAATAAAACAAAACAGACTAAAATCACTTTGAACAAAGAATAATAGTATTGCTAGATTTCACATCATGACACTACAGAATCAGCATTGGGTACTGTAGTGTCTCTTTTTCCTCAAAGTAGTTGTTCATTTCATCATGCGTTATATAATCAGATGTTATAGAGTGTTTATAAGTTAAGCATGCATAAGTCTCTACATGTATATCTATCCTTTCTATATTAGAGGGAAGAACAAAACAAAGCAAGACCAAACAAAGCAAATTCCTAGAAAAACATAAAACGAAAAAGTCATAAAACCACAATACAAGGTGATCCACAGTGGTTACTATGATGTCTCTTGTTATCTTTAATAGAATTTTCTGTATCACCAAGCATAGGATAATTGAATATAGGAGTACATAAAAATGTTAATAAAAATGAAACATTGGAAACATTATAATACTTCAAAAACAGGTAATAAACCAGAGTGCGTATTCTAGTGAATCTTGTCATTTTCAGTGTAGTTGCCTATACTCTCAGATTTGATAGTATCAATTGGAATAAAACCAGTCAATACAAAACAGCAATCTAACAAACCAGATTCAAATAAGATCAGTCATAAGACAGTATAAGTTATACAGGGCTTCAATTTATGTTAATAGGAAATTAAAGATGATTACCATATTATATCCTGCTATTTTCGGGATAGCCTGTCTGTGCCCTAAAATCTAGTACAAGTAGACAAATTGGAATAGAATAGAATCCATCTAAACACAGTGGTGAGAGTAATGTGGATTTTAAATCCTGATACGTCATTAACAGTATCCTGTGCCTTCCTTTTTAGACATTGCCTCCCCTCTCACTTCCACAGGGTACACTGCACTGTTTGAGTCCCACAACTCCCTCAGATTTTAGATTGGAGGGAGGAGCAACCTGGTATTTACCTAAGTGGTTTCAAACCTTTTCACTCCTATCCAGTTGCCTATTATGCAGGTATTTGTTTTGCTACTGGAAGATAATTAAAATGAAATTAGATAAAGACATGAAAATAACATTTCAGATTGTTCTGCTGTAAGACTGTACATGAGTGAGTTCTTATTGGCTTAAATTTTAGCTATAAAAGTAAGATATTTTAAAGTTTTATTTTATGAGTGTTAGATTTGCCTTTAAATTTTGGCCTTCTGTGTTTCCAGGGTTTTGAAGGTATTTCTTTCACGAACAGCACAACGAATACCATACATGACTGGTGGCCGGGTCATGAGGATGTTAGCAGTCATACTCTTGGTAGTATTTTGGTTTCTCATTGGCTGGACTTCATCTGTGTGCCAGAATTTGGAGAGGGAAATTTCACTTATTGGCCAGGGCCAAACATCTGATCACCTCATCTTCAATATGTGCCTCATCGACCACTGGGATTATATGACAGCAGTTGGTATGTAATCACTTGTTTTATGTGATTGTCTTGTCATTTTTCAGTAGTATTAAAATTGAGATTAGCATAACTGAGCGTGATGGTGCATGCCTAAGATCCCAGCACTTGGATTGCTCTGAATTCAAGGACAGCCTGTACAAGGCTACTTTAAGGCCAGCCTGTACTGCATAGTGAAACCCTGTCTTAAAAAGACCAAAACGAAACAACAACAAAGTGCTTAGCAAATCCTTTCACAGATCCTAAAGAAATTTAACCTAACATGATTCTAGAAAAACAATTATGAAAATGACCATAACAGCATGTGGAAGAATGCCATAACGGAATCTGAAAGTTTTCATTCTTTTTCAGAGGTATGTAGCTTTGTTGAAAAACTGTAATCAAGTAAAGTAAAAGGAAGTGATGTAGTAAACAATGCAGTATACTTTTGTGTACAAAGAGATTTCCTGCTTCTGTCGTATCAATTTGTCTCCATTTGATTAACAGTAGTAACTACCTTAAACTATGTCTTTAGTTAGGAGGCAAAAAATACTGTCAGTATTTTTCTATATTTTTGGTACTATTATGTGTATAGCACATTCTTTGTAAAGAGACTGCCTCTAAAATATATTTAATTAATCTTTCTTTCTGAGACTTATCTGTAAAGAAAAAAATTTCAGTAATTGTCTGGAAGCTCAGTAAAAAAACAATACCTACTACTTGGAGGTAGTAAGAATAAGGTGGCAGAGAAATTTGAGAACTTAGAAGAATACCATGATTTGAGTTAAAAACAAACATTACTTTTCTGATATCCACTTTGAAAAATAAAGAAAAAAAAACCCATAAGAATTTTTCTGTTATTAACAATAGGCTTTCTTTTTGTTTGTTGCTTTTTTGAGATATAGTCTCAAAAAAGATTATTATGTAGTTCAGGTTGGCCTTGAACTTACTATGTAGCCCGGGCTGACCTTGAATTCATGGTGATCCTCCTGCCTCAGCCTCCCGAATTCTGGGATTACAAATGTGTGCCACCACCCTCAGCTTCTAACTGTAGTCTATTTTAAATTAAGTCTGTAAAGATAAGAAATCAAAGAATGAAAGAAATCCTTTATTAATGCCTTGTTCTTCCTCAGAAAGCCACAGGACAAACTGGAACTTTTGGGGGCTGATGTGAAAAATAAGAACATGGTTTAATTCTCATTTTATATCCCCATCCTTATTTGACAATTGTTGGTAGAAAATTCATATTTAGTCTTTTCCTAGAAGCAGATAAAATGTGTATTTATGCATTAATAATTCTGAATAATGCATATTTTTCTGGGTAAGATATTTTTAGGACTTTTATAGGCGTGATATCTATAACAGTGAGGTAAGATGGGTATGTAAAAGGAATGATTTTAATGACAGTATTTAAAATTTATCCTTGAAAGGAATTCTGATACTGACTTTGGTCTGGATATCAAAATTAAACCACTAGCATAAAGTAAAATTTCTACACAGTAGAAATCCCTGATACTTTACGTTGTGCTTTTCAATGCAAATTAATCATTAGGGAAAGTCATTTCTTTTTACTACTATTAAGGAAAGCCCACTGGATTTTTTTCTTTGTTACAAAGAAAAAATACTCAAAATATTTGATAAAACAATTAGAAAATATGATCTGTTCAACCAGCATTGTTTTGCAATCTTTTACACACTGTCTTTGAGATACATTCAAAATCTTTTTAAAGCTTATTTGGCAGTATTTCAGTACTTCTATAAAATATAATTGATAATAATCTGGATTTCACATTACATAAAATATATTAAGAACTGAGAATTACATACAATGAACAGTATTTACTAAGTGCCTATAATTTCTCCAGTGTTGAGTCAGATACTTTTGGGGAGATATAAAATGGATAAAGATCTTATACTTCTCATCACAGAGGATACTACTGGTTAATATGGATAAATGATAATTGTTACAAATTGCTAAAAAGAAAAATTGGATGGCAAAGACTCTTGGTGCAATAATAGCTCACTAAAGGAAGAGAAGAGTTTGAAGCATGACTCAGCAATCTTTATAAAGCAGTTTGTTGAGTCATGGATAATATTTAGGTTATTATAAAGAAGTGCAGAGAAAAAAAAGAGGTGCTGAGAACGTTCCCTCTGAGAGGAATAATGGCAGATGGAGGTTGGCGGGAATTGTATGAAATATGAACGAAGAATCTAAGTATAAAAGCGAGAATGCATTATGTTGGAATACATTGTGCATGTTGCAGAGTGGTTAAGTCTGTTGAAAACATTTATGAGGAATTTAGAGAACTGCCAGATTAATACAAGGAATCTGTAAATTCAATCTTGATTGCTTCAGAATGTGTTATTTAAAAAGGAAAATATATCAATATGTGTTATTTAAAAAGGAAAATATACCAAGTTCAGGGATTTGTGAGATGGAATGATTATATTAGAGAAAAATTTTAAATAGTAGTTCTCAAAGCATGGTCCCAGCCACAGCATTACCAGGGAACACACTAGAAATACAAAATTCTGAGCCAGAATTTCATACTTTTCCAATCAAATTCTCAGGACCTGGGATCCAGTAAACATTTAATAAGCACTTCCAGACAGTCTGTTAGGGTAACATACAGAGCCAGTGACCTGCAGCTGGAATAAGACTAAATTCCTGGAATGCAGCGATCACTAGCCTCTGGAGTCCTATTGGCCGCACCACAGCACTCCCACTGTTCCCTGGGCCAGAACCACTAGCGTGCTCCTCACAGAGATTATTACAAGTTGTGATTTTTCCTCATCCTCCCACACTGTTCATGTTTTTTTCACTGTGGAAGACATCTACTTGAAGAATAGGAGTTATCACATAACTATTAAAATTCCTGTCATCTGGCTATAAATCTTTCCATGTCCACACTCCTTCTTTTCGTCCTCATATTATGCTAGCAGATGTCTCAACCAGCATCATATCAACCAGTGCCTTAACTCTTCCAATCCAGTGACCTCTCTCACTTTATACAACCTTTCTGTCATGTGAGACTCCCTACTTCCAAATCACTTATTGAAGAATTCATCACTCTTCACAGCTTTTTGGGATCATTTCGTTAACTACTCCCTCTACAAAAGCGCTTTGATATGATAGAGATTTTTCATTGTGTAGTAACACACCTCCTCATGGTGATTTGGTCAGCAATCAGAAAGAGCACTTCGGTAAGATTATACTGGACCTGACAATTTCTCTTCACTCTTTTTTTTTCCTCTGAAGTAGAGAGCTAACTATGAACATAGGCCATACATAGGCCAGACATAGGGCATTAAAGGATGGGTTTGTTTTATTTTTGCTTATTGCACACTGCTGATCCAAAAAGGATCAGATAAGATGATTTTCTTACTGCAAGTATTTCAGAAAGAAGAAACAGGTAGAGGAAATAGTTTGGAAAACTCTTCAAGCCTCCATGAACCTCAGTTTCTTCATTGTTGAAATGGTTTAAATATACAAAGGAAAGAAAAATGACTTTCAGAATCCTATTGTCATTTGTCTATTTATAATTTTCAAAATAAATATTTTATAAAACTTGTGAGATAAGCTTCAGTATAAAACAGGTAAGATACGAATGTTGCAACTGTGGAAGACAGATCCTGAACAATGTGAGAAGTGCTCTATAGTACCAGTACTCATATTTTTTTAAGAAATGATTTTATTCATCTGGAAGAAAGAGAATTTTAAAATGTAGAGGTTCCAAAATATTTCTAGATTAGATTAGAATTGTATAAAGAAATAAACTGTCATACCTCACTGAGAATTATTTATTTCAATAGTAAAAAGGATACCATGGGGCTTATACTACTGCTTATCATTATATGACCTAGCACTTTGAGTCTTTCTGAGTATATTTAAATATATTTTCCACAGATCACGAAGGCAAAAGAATTTTCCGCCTGCTAATCCCTCTTCCTCTCCTCACCTGATAGCTCCACATTCCTAGGCACCATTGCTTCATCATTCATACCATATCCCTGACCCTTAGCCAAGTATCCATCCATTTTAAGGTTTTGAAAAATTCTTTCTGGAAAAACCAAAAATAAGCTCTGGGTCTATCCTCTTTTGATATTTTCATATGATAATAATTATACTAGGATGAAAAGACTAACAAGTTTAAAAAGTTAAAAATCTAGAAGTTATATAGTTGTCTTCAATTTCATTTTAGTGGTGAAATGTATGTTCAATTTTGTGGAGGTATTTTTGAGCAGTTTATATAAACTGGAAATTCATGACCATCCTACAAAACTCTGTCTCTACTTTCTCCAATAGTCTGCATAATATATTGGTACAAATTTGATATGACAAATAAAAGTTACAACTTAAATAGTATAATTACCAATATTATAGTAAATAAATCTTATTTGCTTTTGATCAAAATGTTGGTTATTTCGTTATCTTCCAGGAACTATGTCAAGAATAAAAACAGTTGAAACTAGAAAATATTCTGCTAAATTAATATAAAAATAATCAAGTATCCTAAATTATACCTACTTTGATAAATTTTGATAGTAGGATAGCCAGATATTTTCAAACCATAGCCACCCTCATTGATAAGTTGATTGACAGTTGTCCATGTTCATAAATTTTCCCAATAGTTTAAATTTTTTCATATTAAGCCAAAATTTTATTTCGGTATGAGTTTTCTGCTTAGCTGATACAAATTGATACATGGGCAGTACTAACTGCTTAAGGCTAAATTTACCTTTCAAATTTCTAACAGAAATTGAGGAAGATCCTAATGCTTAGATTTAGGTATCCCAGGAGAAGTTCTCTGATATGGGGCTTCTAAATTTGGAATGAATGAATAGCAGAGATGGCAATATAATGGACTTTTATCCTTTGGTATATGTAGTTGGATATCATTTAATTTCTGACTACACATTTAGAATCTATATTCAAAACTTCAAACAATTTCACTGACCAAGACAAGTTAGAATAAGTGGGAAGATTCTTACAATAAATAATGAGACTGCCAAACAGTGGCTAA